TCCACCTTCTTGCATTTACTTGTTATTTGCTCTTTTGTGTGTGTTAGGGTCATGGTAAAGCCAAACTGTGACACATTCGAGCCGTATTGTTATTTGGAGAATGTGTATTTTCTTTGCGCTAGACTTTTGGACTTCCCTCGTTGCTTGAAGTAACATTACTATAACTTACAACGGATTAACTATGTGTTTTTACTGTTCATTCTCTGATCTGTGTTGGTGATTTCAATGGTTTTGTTAAGTCCTCTGAGATGATACTGTTGTGATTTAGGGCTATACAAGAATAAATTGTATTGTATTGTATTGTATTAAAGAGTAGTTGACGGACTATTCACAAGATAAGCTGCATAAAGCACATTTAAATTTGAAACCATGATTGAATGAAGGGAGGGTATTTAAACATATAAAGACACTACAGTATATGTAACTAAGACCGATGCCACATTCAATTAGGTATTTTTCAATTTGTCATGAGACAGGTCCTGTGGCCGTCATTGGTCTTTTTAAACACCTACCTTCAATGTATAACCCAATAGAGGTTGTTGCTTTATGTCATGTGACGAGTGGATCACGTTTGGATCTGAGTTTACTGTGACGTATGTAATGAGCCCGAGTGAGCGAGGCATTTAGCATTTAGCCTACCTTTAGCATTTAGCCTAGCTTTAGCATTAAGCCTAGCTTCAGCCATCTCCATTGCTGCTAACGGAGCCCGTGGGGAGTAGAGCCACAACATCTTTGCTTCATGGATATTTACAAATATTCCTCTTGCTCCGGCTTCAGTTTCTTGGTATTTGGATTGAACCAGAACAGATTATTTCACTAAAGCGTTCTTCGACAAACTACCATCAGCAAATTCAGCACAAACTCTTGACGTCACCGACACGACCTATAACACCCGCCTCCCCCGCTCTCTGATTGGTTGGAGGAGATTCAACCGAGGAAACTGCAGCCACTGGGATCAGACCCAGACGTACATGTAGGAAATGATCATGAAGCAGAGTTTACACATGGTAAGACCAGGCTACCACTTCGCTCAATGAAGATGTTTATTTACCTACCTACCTCTCTCTACCTTTCTACCAAACCCTCTTCATCTCTTCCTCCATCCTCCCTTGCCCTCTGTCTACAAGAAATTCATTCTTGGTTCTCTTCCAACTTTCTCAAACTGAACAGCTCTAAAACAGAAGTCCTTCTCGTAGGCACCCCCTCCACTCTCTCGAAATCAAACAGTTTTCCTATTCCCATCAACAACTCATCTGTCCTTCCCTCCTCTCAGGTTAAGAGTCTGGGTGTCATCCTCGATAGTACACTCTCCTTCCAGTCTCACATCAATAGCATCTCCCGGTCTGCATATTTCCACCTACGTAACATCTCCCGTCTCCGCCCCTCTCTCTCCCCCCACACCACTGCCATCCTCGTCCACAAGCCTCGTTACCTCCCGCATTGATTACTGCAACTCACTTCTGTTCGGTCTTCCCAACAAATCCCTCCAGAAACTGCAGCTCCTTCAAAACGCTGCAGCACGAATCATCACACGGACCCCTACCTCTCACCACATCACCCCTGTCCTACAACAACTCCACTGGCTTCCCATAAAACATAGAATCAACTTCAAAATCCTCCTCATCACATTCAAAGCACTTCATAACCTGGCCCCTCCGTACATATCTGACCTCCTCCACATCGCAATTCCTGCCCGCGCACTCCGCTCCTCCTCCACTCTCAAACTCTCCGTTCCACCGGCCAAACTCGTCACCATGGGGCACAGAGCATTCAGTCGCTCTGCTCCCCAGCTCTGGAACTCTCTCCCCTCCGACCTCCGTAACATAGACTCCCTGCCACTCTTCAAATCCAGACTCAAAACTCACCTGTTCAGACAGTCCTATAACACCTAGTTATGCGCGCACCCTCTCAATATTGTACTCTGTTTTATTCTGTCGCTCTTGTTTTTATTGTTTTTAATGTGTCCATTGTACAGTGTCCTTGGGTGTTCTGAAAGGCGCTTTCAAATAAAATGTATTATTATTATTATTATTATTTCCGATACACAAATCCATAACTAAATAACATACATTCACACATTCATGTTTTGAAAAACGGATTTATCTTAACATCAAAAGCTAATGAAGGCTAACTGCTGCTAGTAAACAGTATATTGCTATGGTAACGGACATGGACCCTGGTCTTACCAAACCATCGTACTCATTTCGTTTCATACATATAGGAAATGATAATTGACCGGAGTTTACGGATGGCTAATGCTAGGTTAGCACTGACCCTGTAGCTTTATGGAGAAGGGGGTTCATAAACTTCCAACCTCCTTCACCACAGACAAAACAAGCTGATCAAAAGCAACAATAGAAAAGTAACACAATACATTTACATTACCACAAATATTCTCATGATGATTACTTGTCACGTGTGTTATTTGGCGTGTTGAAGCGTAATTGTAGAGTGCTGTGAGTGAGATGGAGTCGTAAACACTGGCGGGGGGAGTACAGAGGAATGAAGCCGCTGTGGCCTGACAGGATGTGTTGGATCAGAGCGTGTGTTGACATCCACACTCTTTGATAAAAATGTGTATTCTCTGAGCGGCAACATGAAAGAGCCCCAAGCATGAAGACCCGCCACCTAGCATGAAGAATAGAGGCTAGTGTTTGGTTACATAACTAATTCCTTCTCATTATTCGAAAGCCATATTAAAGGTAAAAGGACTTAGAGCTAAACATACTTGGTTTGGTAAATACTACAGTGTGCAACTATTCCCGTGGGAACACCAGCGCAGGCTTATGGGATTTCAACTACAAACCTTGTAGATGCAGTTGGAGATTTGAGCTAATTACATGTCCTGGGCTTCGACCTCAGAAAGTTACGGCACTAGGTTTGAAATGCATGTAATCGCCACTTTACAACATGTCTGACAGAAGAGGTTTAGAGTTTAGTTTAGTTTAGTTTATTAATGGACTGCCCCATCTCGTTTTTGAGGGGTCCATAAACACAAAACACAAATTACAATTAACAAAACGCAGCACAATATACAAGCAGGACAATCAGGACAGTCACATACAAAACAAACTTGCGCCATCGTCGTCCCAAACCCCTCCATTATACCTAGACAGAAATTTAAACAAGAACAAAAAAACTGCAAAAAATATAAAAGCAAACAAACGCTTTGAGACAAGTAACAAAATAGAATTATACATATTCCAAGGGATCAGTAAAAATACAAAGAAATCCAGAAATATCATAAAAAAATACAAAGAGGAAAACTTAAAACATGAACAAGGAGTGTTAACGTGTAAATGGAATGCGGCCAAAATTAGTACGAGGGACTGTAATAACTGCTTATTAACCGAGCGCGAGGTCTGTATGGAGAAATATTAGACCTTAAAAAGGCCAAGGTCTGATATTTCTATGTACAGACCGAGCTAGCAAGGTTAATAAATGTTTTATTATGTGACTCTCGTCTGTGTCTTTACCAATGGTTTTGAGATGTTTGTGAAGTATGTTCATGTCCGACTTGGTTTTGTGTGTACGCGCTGCGGACAGATTGTCATGGTAACGGTCCGAGATGGTAAAATATCAGACCGGTAATCAGCCAATCAGAGCGCGCGTACGGTCCAAGTCAATAATAAAAGTGAGTATTTAAGTGAATATGTGGATGTAGATCGGATCAAAAAAGGCTAAAGATACTGGGAACAGCCAAAGCAAAATGCATTTAAAAATAAACATAATCAGTGAGAGAGGCGACTTATTTTTGGAGTTGTGGACATTTAAAAATAAATCTGTACAGGGTGTTAAAAAGAAGTGGCTTAAGGTACAGATCGTATGTGTTTTGATAAATTACATCTGCATAATCGATAATGGGCAAAATAACTAATAGCTTCATAATGTTAGGGTTAGGGGTGAACCCAAGGAACTACATAATCATATGTTAAATGTGTTTTTTCGGGGATCCCAATGATTTGACAATATCTGAGGCTATTTCTGTGCCAAACCATTGCACAAAAGTTTACTATTCAAATTTGTGTCCTTTTTTATTTTAATTTTTTTTACCTTTATTTAACCAGGACAAATCTCACTGAGAAACTTCTTTTTCAAGGGAGTCCTGGCAAAGAGGCAGCAAAGTTACACATAAACACAACGGCCAGATACAATTACGTTCAAAATGACAGGTACACATCAAGGGACTGGTGCTACTGTATATTGCCCCCCCCCCCCCCCGACCCAGAAATGGATCATAAAGTAAATGTGCACATGCAATGAAATAAAAGGTACACATCAAATATAACACTTACAGGTAATTCAGGCCGTCTCAAAAACTCTGAGTTTGGATTCAAAAACATTGTCTTTGCTGTGCAGTTTTTAAGTTTCCAATGTGTAACTTTTTAAACCATAAGATCCATATTTAGTGCCTTTTAAAGTTGAATTATCTGTGGATCTGAAGCCAATGGAAAAGCTCTCAGATAACGTTTTGTTTCATCGTGTTTATTATTCAATCTGTTCCAACTTTATTCAAAATAAGACCTACAACTTGAAGTAGATCTTGAACAACATGATACATTATAGAGTAGTACATCAACCCCACCCCCCACCCATCTCTTTATTCAATCTACATGACGCAAAATCAAAAAAATCAGAGGAAGCCCTACTTTTCAGACCGGCTCAAACCTAGCGGCGTGTGTGTGTTGTAACCTTTCTGTGAATTTGCCAGCGGACTTCGAAGGGCAGGTTGTGTGTGTTTTGATGGGGGAGGAGATACGAGTCTGGGAGGGAGGGAAGCCAAGGCAGACCCACTTCAGTCAGAGGAAAGCTCCAGGCTCCAACACAGAATATACTTGAATGGGATTTGGATTTGGCAATCTTTGAACGGCCTTAAATGAGTCCTCAGTGAAATGAACGGATCAGTAATCTCAAACAGAACTAGAAAGAGTCTGCGCTGCGGCTGCTACCGGAAGGATGTGTTCATTGAATCGGACCTTATCTCTATCTTTTTTCCCCAGGGACCCTTCAGCTGCTCTGGATGCAACTGTGGACTATGTCAAGGTAAGAAATATACTGCAACGGCTCCAACTTACTCCTTAAAATGTCTTTGTTGAACTTAGAATGCTCAAGCTAGTTTCTAAATATTATGCCGTTGGAATGAGCAGGGTATGTAACTTTTCTTGTGGAGAATATTGTTCATGTTATTGTGTAATTTGAACATCTTAAATGGCTGTATTTGTCTCAAGTTAAAAAGAATGAGAGAAACAACTTTGGGCTGTAACTGTAATTATCAATCAATAAACTTTTATTTGTAGAGCGCCTTTTCTACACAAGGCAACACAAGGCGCCTCACAACCCATATTACATCATGCATAAATCCTAATTATGGCAGTTAATCGGTTAATGAAATCATTACATAGATTTAAACGTGCTGAGAGGAGGTTTTGTGACTCAGATAACTCTATAATGATTGCAAAATTAATTAAGAATTTTTAATCAAACAACTCGATGTGTAACAAGTCTCTATGGGCTTCGCTTTGTTTTGGTCAAATGTATAGAAAAAAATCACATATTTATGACTTAAAAAACTAGGATTTAAAAAACTAATCGATTACTCAAAAGAATAATTGCTCTTGCATCATCAATTACAACTATGTGTAGACCCTCACATAGCAGAAGATCATATGTAGAAAAATGCTTGTGCAATGTTGCTGAATCATGAATGTTATTGACAGATTGTGTGTTTCTGGTTGGCCCAATCATTTGTGTATCACAGATTAGAAAAAAATGTCTTTCTAATCAAATAATCAAAACATTCATGAGACAGTTTTAGGATTAGAGAGTTTTTGGAGATGCAGGATAATGAGATCTATCCATCCATCCATTTTCTTCCCCTTATTCCATTTCTGGGTCGGGGGGGTGGCAGTCAGAGCTGCACCCAGTACACAGAGCACCAGCCCCTCACTGATCCTCCTGCAGGTGGTGAGATCTTTCAGTAGGGGCTTCAGGCAAAGTGGGGTTAAGTGTCTTGCCCGAGGACACAACGACACTCAGTGGGAGTCGTGAAGTAGGTCAAACCCACGACCTTCAGGCTCTAAGGCCAATGCTCTACCAACTGAGCCACTGTCGCCCTATAATGAGATCTGTGTTCTTTAAAACAATATATTGTAGATAGATAGATACAGTAGATACATACATAGATAGATAGATGGATTCTTTATTGATCCCTGTAGGAGAAATTCTGGTATCCAGTAATAGCAGAAGCACATCCAACTATATAAAAAAAGATTATTCTTAAAATAGCTAACAAAAGTATTAAGTATTTCGTTCTTAATCCAAAGAACTTTCTCAGATAATAAATAAGTGTTATAAATGAGGGCCCCGGTACACTGTCCAACGAACCAATCCAACCACATCTTCAGTGAAACCATTTCTCCAACTTTTCCAAAGCCAACCTCGGATGGTCCACACGCTGCTTTGTAACGGCTAGAATGGATTTGGAAGAACTGTCTCTCATCCACATGCACTCGTAGCATCCATACAGCTGCCAACATACAAGATTTTATGTTCGTGGTGGGGGCTGAGCACGATGCCAAAAAAGTGCAACTTGTCATTTTCAAAACCTCAAACTCTTCACCCCGATGTAAAAATACTCCTCCTGCTCATTCCCATGTCTCTGGCAGTTCTGTTTGGGCACGAGCCAGAAGTCATTTGGGTGAGGCAACATCAATGAGAAAAACATTGTTCATTACAGACATGTCACCTGTTGTCCATCATAGTTCAGAATCAGAATCAATTTATTGCAATTTGCAGAAAAAAACTACATTGTAATACAAAAAGGAGACACCAGGGGCACCAACACCACAAAGCACACACACACACACACACACACACACTGACAAAAAGAATATAAATAGCAAAGCAAGTGTCACGTCGGTGGTATATAATGTAAAACTGCAAAATAATGGATTTAATAAAAAGTGATACAAAACACAATCTAGCAAAAAACACAGAACTGAAACATGCGAGGAAGGACAATAACGGAACAGGGAGTAAAGGAACACACATGCTTTAAAGACAAGACTAAAGCCGCGTTCAGACCGGATCATGAGTTGCATCGACTTTCAATGCAAAGTCAATGGTGACACGCGTTCGAGCGTCGAGCTGCATGTGCGTCTCGGGATACACGCACGGATCCTGCTCGGTAGCGACGTTCGGTAGAGACGCACGGACTGCGCGGCAGAGGCGCAGGAGCGGAATATCGACGCACGCAGGAGATACATTTTGCTGAACGTTTCCTCGGACGTTTGTGCAGCGACCAATCAGAGAGCCGCAAAGTGGTCACGGGGAGATTAGTGGTCTGAGCGAGCAGACTGAACATACTGTAAAAAGCCAAAACAGGAGCTACACCAGGACTAAAACCAGGGTTGACAATGGGGGACATAGTGCTTGTGAACATATGCCGTGACTTTATGCAACTGCTTAGAGCCTGTTCGTCAATGCGGAAGTACTGTTTAATAATAAAATAAACTTATTGCGCACCTCCGTGAACACATACTGCTGTTATACTGCTGAACACAGACACGCTGCAAAGCTGCATTATTGGAGAAGAACTTTACACAAGAAGCAGCCAGCTTAACTTCGTTAGCATCAGAGCCCGCCCGCTACTTCCGCCACTTCCGGCGCGCGCCACCGCACCAATTTTTTTACTGTGTTACAGCAAAGAGCCGCATCATACAAATATGCAATACATAAACATCACCCCATCCCTTACACACGCACACGTGCGCGCACACACACACCTCTGCTCAGACAGATTTATTGTAAATATCATCAACATGATAATGACAGAAATTGACTCCTACAGTACTAAATGGCTGGACTCGACTCTCCCCGGTTTGCGGGCGCTTCCACCGCTCGCTTCAGCCGCTCCCCGGTACTTTTTATTAATGCTTTGGCCCTGGTTCTAACCGGGCGAGTCGATACCAGAACAATCTCACGTCAGCGAACATCAATTATGATTCCGAAATGAAAAAAGCAGGCAGAAACAAAACTGTCTTTATCAAACCATGATTGACTCTCTGACTGCATTTAGCAAAAGATATAGATTTGACACATAACACCAACACCACTTTAACTGATTTAGAACCACAGACACATGTTCAGTGTAAGACCAGATACTTTCGCATTTGATTGAAGACAGACACTCGCCAGGCAGAGTTGGCTCATCTCCTGGTGTAGCTGATGTTAGCTGGTTTTAGCATGTTAGCCGGTGTTAGCCGGTGTTAGCCGATGTCCGTAAATTTAATCCATTTGGTCAAACCACCTCCAGACTTTTCGGTTCTGCCTCTACTTCTGCTGCTGTGATCTTTCATGTTCGTGGGACTCATTCTGCTCCGTCCTTAGCGCTAGCTCCACAAACACCTTCTGGTTTCTGGTGGAACCATCGAGCTCACGCTGGTGTCCTCTCCTCAAACTGAGGAAGGTGTTGCCCTCATCCAGCGACCAAGGAATTGTTTTCCGTAGGGACGTCATGGGTCGAGGCAACGTGTTGTTTGTTATGATATTTGCAACAGCTGAGGCAGCAGCTGCAGAGTGATTGACAACGCATCTGACCAATCAGAATTGACGTTCGCCGACGTCAGATTGTTTTGGCGGCCCGGTTAGTGGAGTGGAGTCGGCCTTTACTATGGGTCAGAACTACATAGAGAATGAATGGCAGCACCACCACCGAGGCGTTTTGGACGCTTGTCGTGTGAAAGCCCAAGAGCCGCACGGAACCAGCCAAAGAGCCGCATGCGGCTCACGAGCCGCGGGTTGGCCACTCCTGCCATAGACTGTATATATTAACGGACAGAGTCACGCCTATCTCCGCCGTTCTAACTAATGGGCCAAAAGAATGCTCTACCGGAGCAATCCAAAATGGCCGCGAGTGGTCCCGCCCACAAGAAAATTGTGAAAAAAACGCATCTGCGCATGCGTCAGCCGGCACAACTCCATTCATTTGAACGAGAGACTTCAGAAATTCACAGCGAGTAAACTAGAGTGGACCAAAAAATTCCACCCCCCTCAGCATTGACACACATGTGGAACGGAGCTTTGGGCCAAGAGCCAACTTTTGGTCCATCCTGTAAAGACGTTTTTGAGAGGTCTGCGAATGCTATTGAGAATGAGGAGTTGACGTCACGGCACAGAGTCCCCCCTCCCCATCCCCCCTTTGCCGACATATTGGCTGCGCACCGGTGGCGGCAGTACAGTTTGTTTACGTGTGTTGTGAACGCGGTAGTAGCGGAGGTTCTTGCTATTCCGCACTGTTTTATCATGCCTGGAAATAACTGCTGCGTTAAAAACTGCTCCAATACCTCCCACGATGGATATGGAAAACCCTAGTAACAACGGGATACAGTTTTTTAGGTTACCGAAATGGAAAAAGCATCAAGGGGAGCAATTCTCTGACCTGACAAGGAGACGTCGGATTGCTTGGTTGGCTGCAATTAGAAGAAAGGACCTTACTTTCGATCACACACACCCCTGTCGACGAGAGTGTGTTCTCTACATTTTCACTCTGGTACGTTCTCTAAAAATGTATTTATGTAGTTGTCTCTTAAAGCTAGGAAGTGTAGGTTAGCATATGTTATTATGGTTTCTGTAGTGCCTTTGTCTCTGTGTCTTTGTTACCCTCTCAGGCTGTTTCTTACTTAGCACGTGTTCTGCGAGGTCTTTGCCAGTGTAAAGCATAGATTACATAGATTGTACACATAATCTAATTATTCTGTTGTACATAAACCTTCATATGACATTATGAGGTGACCTAAAAAAGTACTTGAGATGCTGTTCATGACATAGTTGCCAGTTTAAAGCATTGATTACATAGATTGTGCAAATTATTATATTAATTATATGTTGTTATTATTCTCGTGTAGGTAAACCAGCATATGAGATGTTGGAGAACCACCCTGACTGGACACCATCCCTGTTGTTAGGCCACAATGATGTACAAAAAACAGATGAAGCGAGATATCAGCGGCAAGTAAGGCGCAGGTCCCTGCCACTGGAGCGGC